ATTTTTTACGCACAAGCGTGACTACTTTTACCAATCTCAAGAGCACCCGATCTCTCCTAAAAGGGTACCTAATCCCTCTCAAAGGGAGTATAACTTCCACTGAAAGGAAGGTTGCCATCCCCAAATGTGCCCCAACTATCAAACAAAAATACTCTGGAGAGACGAGGAAGAATTTTTTTTTTCTTCAGGTGGCTGTCAATCTGTAGAATTCTTTACCGCAGAGGCATGTAGAGTCTAGGTCACTAAGTATATTCAAGGCTGAGATAGACAGATTTTTAATCAGTAAGGGAATCAAGGGTTACTGGGGGAAAAGGCAGAAAAGTGGAGTTGATGATAATTAGATCAACCATGATCTCAATGGATGGCAGAGCAAATTCAATTACCAAATGGACAACTTCTGCTGCTACGTCTTATGGTAACCCAAATGAATCCACAAGCTGGAGGCTTTCATCATGTCTAAACTGAGCACTTTGATTTTTGACATACCTACCTCATAAAAATCACGCAGGAATGGAGGCAGCTAATTATTTAAATGACCAGCTGTCTCTGTAAACTGTGTTTCCATGACCTTCATGCCAATTCCTGTGAAAACACTGTGTTGGGGTGGGACTTATGATTTCCAAGAAATTCCCCTGGGCTCCGGTATCTACCCTATCAAGGACCTACCTTCAAAATTTTGTTTACGTTTCAATGAGATCACCCTTCATTCAGCCAAACTTCACACAGTTCCTACACACTTTATTCAACCTCTTATCATAGGACGGCAGTGGTTAGAAACCATCAGAATGTCTGAAAAGGCAGGCAGTGATTTTTGTTGAGGTTCATCCTGAGCAGCTCCATGATGTGGGACTCCGTGCTTGACAGGATATTCCCAGAGACTCACACCGAGACAAACATCAACTGTTCGGACTATCAAATTGATGAATCAAACTTATTAAGGATCTAGGCCCGAAACGTCAGCTTTCTTGCTCCTCTGATGCTGCTTGACCTGCTGTGTTCATCCAGCTCTACACCTTGTTACCTCTCAATCAAACTTATTGGTCTGCTTGGGACTTGTTGGTCATCCAGCACAAACAGTTATCCATGACAATGTGTTTCAGACTGGCATATTCCGTGCCTGGATTAATAAGGGATGCACTAAAGCTTGGGGCAGCAGCCATAGAGGCAAAATGGGGAATGCATGACAACCAATTCACTGGGAATATAATTGAATTGAATTATTTATTATCACGTGTATTCAATGTAAAAATACAGTGAAAAGTGTGTTCCTTCACCATGCATTAATGGCACCATTCACATTAACTTAGAATAAGATAATAAAAAGAAGATAACTTAAGAGAGTTGAACTTTGCTTTCCACTCCACTGCTGCAGTCCTGCTCTGGGCTTTTTTGTAGAATCCCTACAGTGTGGAAACAGGCCCTTTGGCCCAACAAGTCCACACCAACCCTCAGAGCATCCCACCCATGCCCATCCCCCTGTAACCCACCTAACCTACATATCCCTGGACATTATGGCCAATCCACCTATCCTGCACATCTTTGGATTGTGGGAGGAAACTGGAGCACCCAGAGGAAATCTACGCAGACATGGGGAAAATGTGCAAACTCCACATAAACAGTCACCTGAGGGTGGAATTGAACCTGGGTCCCTAGCACTATGAGGCAGCAGTGCTAACCACTGTGCCACCATACCGCCCTAAGGGAGCTTGACTTCTCTGACTGGAAATTGAACCCGGGCTGTGCTGTTGAAAGCCCTGAATCCTAACCACTAGACTACCAGAGAAGGCTTTCTTGTCCTCGCCATGCCTCCGCCAGAGTCCTGCTCCAGGCTTTCCAGCCCAAGCCATGCTGCTGACAGCATCCCGCTCTGGGCTGCCTCACTGGCCCACTCTTGATTCGTCGCCGTCGCTCTGGCCACAACCTGCATGTGCAACTCCTGCCATGTGGCTCCCCGTCTCGACCCTGCTACTTCCCAACTCCTTATGTAGGCAGTTAAAAGGGGTGGTGGGGGGAATAGAATTACTACAGGGGTAGACAGAAGGAGGGAGGAAAGAAAAAGGACAAAGAAAGAAAGAGAACTGGCGAGCAGAGTGGAGCTCCGAGTGGAACGGTTTACCCTGGCGCCATCTTGCCCAAAATAAGGAACACTTTTGTACAGTGGCTAGGGGGTGGTATCTCGTTAGTCTGTGGGAGATGGCCACCCAGAGAATGGCCAAAGATAAAATTAGAGCTGACAACTGCTGTACCAGCAGCAAACAACGGGACACAGGACAAAGGCCTTATTACGGGAGCCACCAATCCCTTGAAATTGGGGCAGTTGGTCCACCTGGGGAAAACTGAGGGCTAGAAAGCAGGTAAGAACCCTTCACTCAGGCTGCACGCTCGAGGTGGGGTGGGCATCATAATTGCACCGAGGGCAATTCAATGGCAGGGGTTCACCACGTGGAGAGAAGTTGAATTTTATCGCACTTTCTGTGAGTTCGAATGTATCGGATGTGCATCAAAATGACATACTTTTCTTGTTGGTGTTGATGTTAGTGGTAGAATAAAATAGAATCCCTACAAAATGCAGAAGGTTCAGTGCATTCGATGGATCGCGTTCACACCAACCCTCTGAAATGCATCCCACCCACACCCAAACCCATCCCACCCTATCCCCCTAACCTCACACTTACCATGGCTAATCCCTGCATACTATGGGGCAATTTAGCACGGCTAATCCATCTAACCGGTACACCTATGGACTGTGTGAAGAAAGCAGAGCACCCGGAGGAAACTCATGCAGACATGGGGAGAAAGTGCAAACTCCATGCAGTCACCCAAGGGTGGAATTGATACCTGGGTCCCTGGCGCTGTTGGGGGGGGAAGAGAAGAAGTTAGAAATAGAAAGGTGTTGGAGTTTCTGCAACTATAAAGGGAAGGGGGATCGGAATCTGCCACCACCCCCCACATTGAATGTGGAGGAAGGACCATGCACAGAGTGGTCAGGGTGGGGACTGAGAAGTGAACGGGGCACACTTTCTGACAGCGGCGCACGCACAACCTGGAGCGGGCACGCGCAAGCACAACCGAGAGAGCGCACGTACAGTCGGGAGCGAGCACGTACTGGCGTGGGGGTTGGCCTGTTCGGCATAAGGTCGGAGGAGGAGGAGGAGCAGGGGCAGGCAAAGGCAAAGGCAAAGGGGGAGGGAACTGGGGATGCTCAGAGACAGAGAGTGAGTCCGACAGGAGGAGGGTTGGGGTGGGGGGGAAAGGAAAAGGAGGGGTGGAAGGGGTGGAAGGGCCGGATCGAGCCTCGCCGCATTGCACTGCACGGTTACCGTTGGAAATGTAGAGAGAAAAGGAAAAAAAAAGGCAAACGGTACTTGGACCGGGTGAAAATCGGTGGGAGATGTGGAAAATGTTTGCGCCGGTTGGGCGTGCGGGGTAGTAAGGGGAGGGCGGTTATTAAAGCAGGCCCACCCACCTCCTGTTATTAAAAAGGAAGGGAAATGGCGGGGATATAGAAAATGTTTTTATATATATATATAAAATGTGTGTGTGTGTTATGTGTCCGTGTGGCTGGGCAGGCAGTGAGGGAGGAATCAATTGGAAGATTACGGCGAGTGGGCGGGTTTGAGGCCTGTTGGCGGAGGCTTGGCGCCGGCTCTCACTGGGTCATTTTATAATGGAGGGAGGTGGGCAGGCTGGGGGTGGGTGTGTGTTTTATTTTAGGGAGGAGGGTGTTATCGGTGTGTGTGTGTGTTACTCGCCCGGCTGTTCATATATTCGGGGTGGGGAGGCAGTGCTGCCAAATACAATCCTGGAATAATGGCTGTGCTGCTGGGAGAGAAGAGAGAGAGACCTCCTCAGTTAATATTTACAACCCCAGTGCCAATAATAATAATAAATCATTAACCTTTACCAAATCAAACAAAGGGGATTGGGAGACCAAACCGCCCCCCCGCCCCAGATTGCTTGACCACAGTCCACCCTTTCTTTTCCTTTCGGGTATTTTTTTTAAGATTGTCTTTAATTACTTCCCATCTGATTTGTTCAAATTGTGAATGACTTTGTTTCCGTTCCGTTCCGTTTCTTTCTTCTCTTTCCCTCCCCCCCCCCCCAAAAAAAAACAAAATGAACAATGAAGGTCCATTGCTTTAATTTCAGACTTTTGTTGTATCGCAGGCAGCCCTGTCTCCTCAGGTTCAGGTTCTCTGCCTACTGTGCACTATTCCTGAGGAAGGGAGGGGGAATTGTGTTTTTTTTTTGCTTATACAATTCTCAGCTTGTTGATAGGGACGGGTGGGGGTGGGGTAGGGTCTTAATTTCCGTCGGTGGGATGTGAATTTGGCAGGAAGTTTACTGGAAAAAGGAGGTGGTGGTCAGGGTGAAAATCCCGCGCATGTGCAGGAAAAGATCTTTTATCCTGCAAAAAAAGGGACGCAGCTGCCTTAAAACCTTGTAACGGCACAAAAAATCACCCTTTAATGGCATTTTCGCCCAATTTACTGCATGAGTCCTTTGTTGTGCGTTTGCCGATCGCGCCATCGTGGATGAAACATATTGCAATGCTTTTTTAAAAAAAGCAGTGCTAAATCTGTCAGTCCTGTAATCTAATGGGCCTTGTGGAGGCAAACAATCGATTACTGGAACAACACAAAGCAGTTTTTTTTCTAACTTGTTAGTTTTATTATTTTATCCATTATCAGATGTTTAAAGCTTGTAATTTGTGTTTTTTTTTAGGAATTCTGTGAATATTGAATTATGAGGCTGTCCTTTGTTGCACTCCCCACTTTTCCTGGATTGCTGCTATCTTGTTAGGATTTTGACGCTCCCCCTCTCATCCAGCTGCTCCTGAAAACACACATGGTGCATTGTTGTCGTTCCCCAGATCGTGTCTGCTCACCAGAACTGTTCAGTAACCTTCAGCAAGCAGATCTGCGACCTCTAGGATAAATATAAAGTAGTTTGTTTTGCAGACCTAGTGCCCTTGTTTCTGCTGTGGCTGCACTGCAAAAATGGAGCCTTGCATGGAGTATTTCTTGGCACAAGTGCTGCAGAAAGACATGGGACGTCGGGTGCAAATTGCTCAGGAGCTGATAGAGTACATCACAGATCGCCAAAAATCCCATGATCTGGAACAGGACCAATCTATGCTGGATCGAATGGTTGATGGCCTTGCGGCTGGTTGGGTAAACTCCAGTAACTTCAAGGTATGCTTATGCTGGACAGCTGTAATATCTGAACAAAACTAGCTGTTGGTAACAAAAAAAATTGCTAAAAAAGACATTTTGCCAAAGTTTTTTTTCATCTTCCATTCATCAGGGCAAACACAAGAATGCCATACTTCAAATGATCACAACAGTAGAGATATTTTATAATCCGTCTGTTCAGAGCTGTTTTTACACACTCCTAGAGCAGGTGAGATTTGAACCCAGGCTTTGTGTTCAGAGGTATGGATGGTACTATTGTACCACAAGATCCCTCACAATAAGATATACTATGGGAGAAAAGTTTGCTGATTGGTTGGCAAGTCCACTGATCAACGATTTGCTGTAGAGAAACCAAAAATGTTGGAAATCATAGAAAATTTGTTCTGGTACGTGTGTCCCGAAGAGTGGAAGATGAACAGCTTTGGAAACGTGTCTGTCCTTGCAGCAATGTAAAGGTGTTTTTGTTTGTGCTGGTAAAATACGTACATCTGAATTATGGTTAAGCAACTGGACTTGTAATCCAGAGAATCATAGAATCTCTATAGTGTGGAAGCAGGCCATTCAGCCCATCAGGCCACACCAACCCTTCAAAGAGCATCCTGCCTAGACCCACCCCATTCCTGTAACCCTGTATTTCCCATGGCAAGTCCACTTAGCCTGCACATCCCTGGACACTATGGGCAATTTAGTGTGGCTTATCCGCCTAAACTGCACTTCATTGGACTGTGGGAGGAAACCGGAGCACCCGGAGGAAATGCATGCAAACAAGTGGAGAACATGCAAACTCCACACAGACAATCGCCCAGGGCTGGGATCAAACCTAAGTCCCTGACACCGAGAGGCAACAGTGCTTACCACTGAGCTACCATGCTGTCTGACCTGGCCTAATAATCAGTCAGTCACCTAAATCTGGAATAAAAAGCCTGTCTTAATAAAGTCTTGACTGTGAAACTGTTGAATTGTTGTTAACAACCTGTCCCGTTTTCTCATCCTTTTAGGAAAAGAAACATTTTAACTTTGCCCAGTTTGAGCTATGTTTCATCAGACCTATACAATGTATTTGGCTCTCAACTGTCTTCTGACAAAAACCACTTCAGTTGATACCATTTTTTTAATTTGAAGTCATTTAGGAATGGCAGTAAATACTGACATTCAGGGAGGCCTGCATCCTGTGAATTAACAAATTGTTAAAAAGTATATTTTTGTAGTATATTTCCCTGATTTCAGTCATGTATTTGGGACCTCATTGGCTCAGTTGATAGCACTCCTGCCTTTGAACTGGAGGAATGGTGCAGGCTTGGAGGGCCGAACGGCCTGTTCCTGTGCTGTAATTTTCTTTGTTCTTTGAACCTGAGTTCAAATCCTACTGCACGACCTGTTTACTACAGAATGAGTTTTGTACGACTTAAAGCAGGTTTAGTCTCCTTGTAAAATCCTTCCATGATACCACACCATTTTTCCAAAGGAGGCAAGTGTGACGCTACATCAAACATGCCAGTTTATTGCTTTTTAATAAAGGCAGTTGTTATTAATAATTCTAATCTTCATTAGAGAAATAAATTTTGTATGAAAAATTTGTGCCTCGGGATTTCTACCCTCCTTTCATAAAAGAAAAGCTTTGGAATGTTTTGCCCGAGGACCTCGTCTTTCGATGATTTGCAGGAAATCCTTACTCATTGTATGCTTTTGTAATCAGTTTTCCCAACCTTATCCATCTCAAATAAGTTGTCCAACTGGAAAGAATATAGAATTACACTCATTATTTCTGAAAAGTCTAATTGTATTTTGTAAGCATTTGTGTTTTTCCTGAAAATGACTGAAATATGTGAGGACTATTAGGATATCTAAGGGCTCTAAAGCTGGTTATTGTTTTGATTCCCTCTTCTGTACCTCTTCTAAGGGCTTGAAATGTCTGTTGTATTTGCGTACTGAAAATAAGCATAAATATGAATGTTGGACATTATACAAAGGAGATCAGTTTTTTTTGTGATGAAGTGATCAATCGTAAGAGCAATATAATTTTGTCATGGTAAAGTTGAGAAATCCTTGTAGGGTGGTAAATTTCAAGTTTGGAAATTTGTGAAGACAAGCATGAGTAGTCGTCATGTGTTTTCTGCCACAGCTGTCCCACTTGTACTTGCCTTAGAGGAATGCAACAAAGGTTCATTAGGCTGATTTCTGGGATAAGGAGGTTATAATATGAGATTGAGGAGACAAGGCTTGAATTCCCCAGAATTCAGAAAAGCAAAAGATGATCTCTGCATTTATAATTTTAAGAGACTTGATAGGATAGATGCTGATAAGGTGTCCCCCTTCTCGAGCTAGGGAGGATGGTCTCAGGATAAGGAATCAGTCAATTTTGCACTGAGATGATGGGAAACTTCTTTGCTCGGAGAGTTGTTAAAATTTGAATTCTACCATACAGGGCTGTGCAGGCATAATTAGTGAGTACGTTCAAGATTGAAATTGATAGTCCCCCAAAAATCTAAGGGAATAGTATAGAAAAGTGGTGCTGATGTAGCTGTTCATCTATGATCTTATTGAATGGTGGAGTAGGTTTAATGGCTGCATCAGCTACTCCTAGTCGTGATCAAATGTTCTTGTGTTTGGTTGGAGAGAGTAGATTTTGCATTTTTTGAGGATTGGCAATCTCTGGCTTTTGTATCCTAGATTTGGAAAAGATTACTGGAAATGCTGTTTCTGTTCTAGGGAATGTCTAATTCTGCATTCAATTAATGTCAGTGATACTTCAATCTGAACTACAAAACCAGCTAATGCTACAAATGGGAAGCATTTCACACAAATCCCAGATGAATCCACTAGTAGAGTTTTTGCATATCTAGGGTTTTGTAAATCAAAGTACTGTATATGTAAATTAATTTTAAAAATTCTGTACAGATCCAACTGTAAATATTTTCCGAGTAATTCACTTCAAATCAAATCCAAATCCTTGACAGTTCCAGTTCACACTTGGTATGATGAAACAGAAGGAGCCTGTTTCAAATCCATTCAAGGAAAATAAGATGAAAAGAGACACAAAATTTCAGTATCTGAGAGAAATGTATAAATTTATTCAAATTATATTTGCTGTCATAATAAATACTTCAGTTTCAATTTTTATTTTCATTTACTCCTCTCTTTCTGAAGGGTGGTGAAGGTAGCACTCTTGCCCTTACCCAAGTGACTTCAAGTGACACTTGAAATCTGTTCATCCCAATTCCAATATGCTGCTTAATGTACATTTGAACGTTCCTGCTCGGAGATTTTGGTTGGGATCCTAGTGCTTATGTATGTTACTTTTTTTGCCTGTCTTACAACGTAGAGGTCAGTTGCAGCAGCCTTACTCCTGTGCAGTTGGCTACCTCAAAATAACTGTAGAAAAACCTTGGTCAACATGGTTCAGAAATTTGATGCATTTTCCTCGTGAGCAAATTGCATTTATTGTTTTTTTAAAAAAAATCTGGCAGGGCAATTAATTAAATTATGATGTTTTCAAATCTATCTCAAGTATGATGGGCAACTTTCTGTAGTTATCAGAAAGGATAGTTATGCCAGTAGATAAAATTATAAATGTGTTAATGTTAATCAACTGAATGATATTTATCTGCAATTGGCCAGTGAGTATTCATTTTTATGCTGGTTTCCATTCCTTCAGGGCCATATCAGCTCCAGACCAAACCATGCCAGTGCTGTCCTGCCTTTCCATCTTCATGATGCACTAACTTCAGTTCATCCAAAAATTCTGCTGCCAGTATCGTACCTCAGTCACCTATCACAATGATGTAGGTTTGCTCCCAGACATCCCATCATATCCAATCCAAAATTCTTTTCCGTGTGTTCATGTTTCTTTAATGGCCATGTATGTCCCTATCTCCAACCTCCAACAACCCTTTAGTTTATCCGTATAGAGCTTGACTAATGATTATTTCCCTATATGGGCATGTGTTGGAATTTTTGTAGAACATTTCCATTATTAAGTTAGGGATAGTAGGAACTGCAGATGCTGGAGAATCCGAGACAACAAGGTGCAGGGCTGGATGAACACAGCAGGCCAAGCAGCATCACAGGAGCAGAGAGGCTGACGTTTCGGGCGTAGACCCTTCATCAGATGAAGGGTCTAGGCCCGAAACATCAGCCTCT